AGCTGGTTGGTAGATGCATACAACTTGATTTCTTATATTTACGCGAACAACACATATTGAATAAAACTGTTTTTACGGGGTTTGTCGTGTTTGAAGAAGCTACCTTTTTTAGTAACGTATTAGCGATTAACGAGGTTAACTATTAATTTCGTTAAAGGTTCTCAGCTATGGATTTATGTATGCGTCGTCAATATATGATTGCACCTTCGATTGCAACTATTCGCCCGCCGTTTGTGAAGTGATAGCTATATAAATAAGATTTTAATAAATTATTATTTCAGTTCCACCGCCCACAGGCCATCTGGTAAAAAAGAGATATCTATAATAAATAATTTATAAATAAATGAATTAAAAAAAGAACACTTATTGTTAATTCATTTATTTATGTGTACATCCTGTTCTACGCTAATTATTCCGTTACGCCGGCTACTGCCAGCGTCTGCTTTCTTGCTAATACTCGTACATCTTCGCGTTGCCAGGTCTGTAGTGTCCTCGGTTGTGACCCAATAGACTTTTATATTTTGACTGCACGACGTCGTGCCAGCTTTTTTGGAACGGCTGCCTAGTCTTGCTCCTGACGGTAGCCTACGATTTCCTTTCAACGTAATCTATCGGCTCACGTAAGACGTGTCCGTACCACCTTAACCGACTATTCGGCTAGCCGATAGGTAAAATCAGTACTACTAACGCACTAACTTAACGCACCTGCAATTCCTCTGGTATTGCAGTTGTTCACGGGTGCTACTAGTCACTTACTTACTCGTTCGCCTATTTCTTATATGAAAAAATATCATCAGAATAAGTTTTGGTGTTAATACATTTCAGGAGAAAATATCTTAATATTTTGCAAGGCATTTGCGAGTATGAAATATTACTCTCAAATATGCAGATTGCGTAATAAAACACACGCAAATATAATAAATCGCTTTCTGCTTAAAATCACAAAATGTTTTTATGTATCTGGAAAATTTACATGTATATTTTGGGATAAATAATATCTGTTACGGGATAAAATCAAATTTTTCGTATATTTATAATATTTTAGTAAATATATATCACAAAATAGTGTTAATATGATGGTTGACAAATATCTGAATAAACAAATTGTATAAAAAGAGTTAGAATGAATATAGAGTTAATATTATAGCATATTAAAAAATTTATGGATGATGATAGAATAGTCCCTGGGAATGAGGTGATCGCCACCAAGGTTCTAATTTGTTTCCCTTCACAAGTCCACTACTGAACATAGGCCACCCCCAAGGTATGCCACAAAGCACGGTCCTGAGCCACCTGTATCCATAGACTTCCTGCATGTCATACCAAGTCGTCACTCCATCTAGTGGGGCAACCTTCACCGACGGCTGCCACTTGAAAACCTTTTTTCCCCATCGGTTATCGGTTCTTCGAGCTATATGGCCGGTCCATTGCCACTTCAGCTTACTAATCCGTTGGGCTATGTCGGTCACTCTTGTTCTACATGTAGTGATATCCTCATTTCTAATTTTATCACGCAGAGAAACCCCGCGCATAGCCCTCTCCATACAAATGTTTTTAAATTAATTGTTTAAAATAATATATTGTAAATTCGTTCTACGTAAGGGGAAATATAACTTCAAATGGCTTAGCAAGATCCTCCGTTATACCGAAAATATTGCAGCATTAATTTTGACATAAATATATGGTAAAGGTGAGGATTAATGTTAAGTACTATGTTAGACGAAAACATGATTCCGTAAAATTTTCTCGATAGAAAAAAAATCTAAACTTACCTCCAAACTGAACAATAAACCGCTGTTATTCATAAAATACTTTAAATAAGATTATGAAACTTTGCATACTAACTGAACGAACTATAAAGCAGGGCTTATGTTTTTTACTTTTTTTTTAAAATACCATTATTATCACTGTAAAAAGAAATTACCTAAACTATTGGCGTACTGAAGCTTGTTTCCTGCCGCCCGGTTCCGAGCTTCAAGACGCCGAACTAACTATAAAGCAGATAGTTAGTTCAGTTAGTATGCAAAGTTTCATGATCTTATTTAAAGTATTTTATGAATAACAGCGGTTTATTGTTCAGTTTGGAGGTAACTTTGAATTTTTTTTCTATCGAGAAAATTTTACGGAATCATATTTTCGTCTAACATAAGGTACTTACCAAGGAAGGACGGGGAGTGGCTAATAGTACGAAGCTTGTTTTGCTTATGTTGTTTTATTTAGAGACTTCAATTGCGTGATTTGGATTTCTGTTGTTTTTATTTCAAAAATATATGCTGTTAGTTTACAATGAGAGAGCCCCTGGGAAATAACAAATTTTGAGCAAAGTAACGCTCGAATCTAATTAAAATAAAAGAATTAATGAAATATACAATCAATTTAAAAAAAATATTTTTAAATCTGTGTACATTATGTAATCTAGCTTCAAACCAATTTGACTTCGTTCCTTAACATACGTTAGTAAGTTCGCATAGTATTCCGATGAAGTTCGTACTCAAAGACCTTTAAAACACGCCGTACATTGTAACTTAACACTTAAACTTTCGAATATGGTAGGTTACAATTAAAAATGGGATGAAACTAAGCATTAAAAGTAATTTCTCCGGAAGAATTTCAATGTTCAATCGCTTTATGACTTTTGTCGCAAGAAACATGTAAAATTTCTTTTGTTTTTATGCCTGCAAATTCTGCTTGTGTAAGTTTCTTTTTAGTGGTACAAAGGCGTGAATCACCTTCACACTTGTTTTACCACAAATTCCTATTACTATTTTTATTTCTAGGTTTTATACCGGCGTAATTCCTAAAATGAAAATATGTTACCCTTAAAAAGCTTACTAGCTTTGCTAGTCTCTATTGATACTTTCGTTAATCACTCTCTAAGCGTCGTTAAGTTTTCTAATCCGTAATAAGAGTAACTCTAACCACGTACTGAGGTTGAAGAGTGTTCAGTCTAGTTTTGTTTTTGATTTTTATTCTAATTTAATGTTTCTTTGTTTCCAGGTAAGTGCTATCCTATGCTCACTGCGTTTGGTTCCTGATAAGTTAAGTTAAAACAAATAATTTGCTAAAAGAAAGCTCTAAATTATTATACAATATTACTATACATCATTATCACCATTCAAGCCCTTCACAAGTGCACTACTGAATATAGGCCTCGCCCAAGAATGCCACAAAGCACGTCCTGAGCCACTTGCATTAATCGACCTTCATCGACATCCGACAGCAAAGAAAACTACAAATAAAATAAATTAAAAAAATTACAAGATTCAATATGTATGTTTATTTTTCCCTTTTATTTACTTTCTTGAAGTTATAGTAAAAGGAGATCTGGACTTCAATTTATTTTTCACAAATGTGAATAGTTATAATATTACAATAACTAGTATCAATAAAATTGATTGATTGATTGAAATGAATTGACTAAACTGTGTGGTTAACCAGGAATTACTTTTAAGTTGTTGTCTATCTACGGTAAACAATAAAAAATGATTGGATTTAGTTGAGCGTCTATAATGCAAAATGAGTAACTATACTGAATTTCAAGTCAATTAGGTGCATAGGTTTAGATATAGCGTGATGAGTTAGTAAATCAGTGGTATTTCGCTTATAATAGATAGCTAATCACCTTGTCAAGCTCGGCGATCATGTCAAATCCACCATACTATGAGAAATTTTTACGTACAGTAGCGCATTTTACAGGTGTTTTTTTATAAAATTAAAGCGACAAACCAACTTACCGTCCACCTGATGGTAAGTGGAATCTGCAGCTCATGAACACCTGTAAGCAACTTCAAATAAACAGACTACTGATGAGCCACCTTTGAGAAATAAGATGCAATCTCTTAAGCCTATATTTATACTGGCTCTATACGCTTTAGACTCAGACAGACATTTGGCAGTAGAATTAGTAAGTGGATGGTACCTAACCAGATGGAGTAAAAAAAGGTTGGTTAAGGAGAGGAAATAAAAACACACACATTTCTATATTTAACATAATTCTTATGTATTCGTATAATTTATATTAAATTATTTACATCTAAGTCCTCTTTTGATGTTATTCATTAAAAATAACAACACATGTACATTTAGTTACAATAACGTAAAAGGCCCGCTGTCCCCCGGTGAGGTGCAACGCCAAGGGATCGTTCGGGGTTTTGGTTATCAAATGTCTGTGCAGCTAAACTATAATTGTAAAAGACGAAACAAATGCTTCGATAGTGATGTGAACACCAATGTGTCTGCTTATTTGCTTTAAGATACTATCATCATTAGGAGTCTGCTGGCTTACTTCTTTACTGTGTGACGCATTAACGTAATAAACAAATTAACAACAAATTGTTATAAAGGATAATTTCTTAATATACTTGACAAAAGCAAAAGTACAATGGTACGAGACTATTGCCGAAAAAGAAAAAAACGAACAAAACTTTGATGACCTTTGAGGTGTTTTAAATATCCATAAGGTTACAGAAGTGTTACTGTTGTAGCTACGAACACTGTAATTAAAATTTCATGTAATATAATGTCACTATATTTAGTTATATTACTTCTCGTCACCAAGAACCCCTTTCCATGTCGTTCCTGTAGTGGGCACCGGGTCTTAAAACATTTCACTTCTATCTGACAATTGCTGTATCACAATTGAGACAAGCAACAATGTATAAACAAACATAAAATGATAAAATAATTACTAAAACAAAATCGCTAGTAATTGAAAAATTATTAGTGTAACAACTAAACTAATAACTTTCTGGGCCGATGATGACACTGGTGAAGGAGTCTTATAATAATTTGAGTATATTTCATCCCAAAATGTAATTGTTTGCTGCTGTGGATTACTTAGTAGGGTCTCACTACTAACTGTTACGTTTGGTGATGTCTCACCGCCACTGTACGAAAGGTAGTAAAAAATATTTGAAACTGGTAGCCAAGTTACTGAGTTGGAAAAGTTTGGCGAACTGAAACAAAGAAAAGGTTAATCAACTTTAGACTCCTTAAGTTAACTAAAAATCTGGACGAAGTAGTTTTACTAACCCAGTCCTTATAAATGTTGAATATCGTTGTATAATTCTTTGCATAGTATCTACATCGTTTGGTTTTAGGTCAAAATTTAACAAATAATTTAAAATACCGCCATGCATCACACCCGTTAAAGGGATTTCCGGAAACGCCCAATTGGAATTATAAGTTCCCAAATATCCAAAATTGTAAAGTCTTACTTCCGCGGTAGATGTATTTGCCCTTTCACGTACACCTCTCGCTATGGATACAAGTATCATAGTATCCCCGTGATAATCCAAGTAATTTTCAATTACCTCCATGTTAATGGTCTTATTTCCAAAATAAAATTCGCGTATGGAATTCACAAGAGCAGTTTTGTTTGCTTGCGATGTCGATGCGAGGTCTAAATCGACTTGGATAAAATCTTCAAAATTTCCTTCCATACTGTCTAACCATTGATTGTAAGCTGCTTCATAAGCTCTTATTGTACCTTCTTTGTCAGTGAAACCAGCTATATAAGGCACGTGACTATAGTTACCAGAACGCAGTATATTTATTGGTGCATCCTTAAGAAACACATTGTCTTTGTCTACATCATTTTCAATACAGGGTGAAAATAATGCTGTATTGTTAAATAATTCAAAAGCAGTTAGTGCACTAACCAATTCGTTTATATCTGTAGTAGTTAGTAAATTAGCTAATTCTTCCTTTGTTTTATCGACATAACCAAGTTTTTTTCCTAATGCCTCAGCGTATCCAACAGGATCGTAAGCTATAGCTCCTGGAGACAGTGCTGATCCACTTTGAACGATCGCTTTATGCACTAAATTTTCGGCCATAGGTGACAAAGTAATGAGATCGACCATAGCTGCTCCTGATCCATGGCCAAATAATACTATATTATTTGGATCGCCGCCAAACCCAGCTATATTTTCTTTAACCCATTTTAATCCTTGCACAACATCCTTCAATCCGGCATTTCCAGGTGCCTGTTGGACTCCTAAACAAAGAAATCCAAAGATGGAAAGTCGGTAGTTGATCTTCACAACCACAATATTTTCATTCATAAAATTTTTAAAAGAGTGTATCGTTGGGTCCGACGTTGTGAACTCTTCACCCTGAATCCAAACCAGTACAGGTTGGGAAGCGGTAAGATTGGGTGTAAATATATTGAGAGTTAAACAGTCTTCAACTCCAATAAGACCGCGAGACGTTGGTTGGGCACATATCACCTCGTTATTAACTGCCACAAAAACACCTGTGTAAGTAGGCGGTGGTGGAGCGACCTGAAATTTTATAAGGTGTATTAACATGAAAACTTCAGAATTTTATTCTGATTCAAATATCTGTAACTATTTTACATTTGCGTTTCTTGCGTATTTAAAAAAGGCCTTTACTAAACACATTCATACAAGATTAAGTAAGAGAAATGTGCTTGAACGACTTCTAGTATCTTAAGGATTGTGGCTTAGTGCGATCATAAATTATTTTATTACTTTTTGATTAACTCGTTAAACAGAGAAGTAGATTTTTCATCTTGTACTTAGAACATTTTAAGTTTAGTACCTACAAATATTACAATCGACTTTAAACTAAGTTCCCAATGACTAGAGACTTGAAACTTCAAGTATAACTTCAAACGTTACAGCAATTCAACATGAATTCACTTTCTGTCAGTTTTTTTGCGCTGCTCCTCATTTAGGAGTCAGATTCTGGTTTGTTATCGCCATTTTGAATTAAGTTTTATAATGATTAAGCTAAGATTGATATTTTCATCATAGGCGGCATACTGGAATAAAATGCCAGAACACAACCAGAGTTGAAAAATCAAAAATTTGCTTATGGCTTATATTTGGCTCTAAATGGCGGTTCGGAATCTGAAGTGACGTTGTAAAGGTAAGTCTAGTGGTAATCGTGGCTGGCTGCGCTTGTGGATTAGTTTCATTTTATGGTGTAAATGTATAAGCTGATCTTTTTTTCACATGTAATTAATATCCCATTTCATATTACAAATTTCTAACACAATAAAAACCTAAAATTACAATGAAATTAAATAAAAATAAATAAATTACATTTAGTTTTGGACACAATAAACCTTCTATCCCTACTACTGTTTTGAAATGAGGCTACTCTGATCGAAGAGGAAACGGCAAAAAAAACCTAGGTATACACCGGTTTTAAACACAATAGACCCATCGATAACTGAAGCATGGTCTGTAATGTAATAAAAACTCTCAGTTACTCACTACAGCAACAGGTCCACAGCTAAACATAGGCCTACCTAAGGATTGCCACAACACGGTCCTCACCATCGATTGTTAGTTCATAATACGCAGTTTGACAAAAGGTGTATAAATATTTGTGTATTTGAAAAGGTAAAATGAAATATTGAGTACTTAATAGAATCTGGAAGTAAACTAAAGAAGAAATAGTATACATACTAACACATAAGGATGATATCGGCCTTTAAATCGCATCTTTCGTCTAAAAATGATAACATTATCTGCGTTGAATATATAATGCCATAAAGGTTATTACGAGAATAAAAGAGCAGATATTTATAATTTTAACATTCATTCTTTTCTAATAACATTAGGCAGCAAAACTGGCGACTGTCTTAGAGACTAAACTCAAAACATTTTTTTTTAAATAAAAATGAAGTGACAGTCCATTTTATGATAAGTGGCTATAGCAGTTCATATGCACTCCTGCAGCCAACATCAAACAAACAAGACTACAGATGCGTTATTATACGTGGTAGAACCATGCTGCAGTTATATTAGCAGTATAGTTGTAGCACGAATGTGTCGGCTCGACCGGGGAATGACCACGCTCTCACAGAATACCAGCGTGAAATAGTAGCTTAATGCTGCTATGTTTCGTATGGTGAGTGTAGAGAACCGGAGACTTTTTTACCGGAAACGAGGCATTCCATCTTAGTCCTCAGGGGTGACAACGCATCTGCATTTTGATTCGTAATCGAAAACAGATGTAGATATCTATGGCCACAGCAACCACTTACCATCAAGTGGACTGTGTGCTTGTTTGTCACCCTATCCTATAAAAAAATTACCTCTGACATCTACGATAGAATGTCTTAATATAGTTTCATTTCAGTTTCAGCAGACGTTACAACAATGAGTATTTCAATTACCTTAAATCTGTTTCCGCCTGACACCGATCCTGCATAATGAATTCCGTAAAAGGCGTAATAATTCTCATCGGCTACTTTGTATCCCTGTATCTGTCCTTGTGTAGTATTTACAACGGGATTCTCCAGTGCCTGCCCTGCCGCAGCAACTGCGCTCACGACCGCAAGGAACATAAACATGTTCACAGCGTTCTGACTGCAATGCATATCACCTAACGTTTCTAGTGAATTGATATACTGAGCTATCAAGTTTGATTATATATATCTTATCTATTTATTGTCAAATTTAAAGATATTATCAGCAATTTTCTTTGAATACAAATAAGAGTCATAATATTTTGATATAATAATATAGCGATTTTACATAGAGAAAGAATTTACGTTTAAATTTTTTTAGTAATTTGCTTCGTCGTACGTCATATGTACAGCAAAGGAGTGGAATAACTTGCCACTATCTTTTCATTTATAATCGGGTGTCTTCAAGGCAAATTCCTCTACAAGATGCAGGAGTGTACAAGCTTGATGGTGAATGTTTTCTCCAATATATAGGGCAAGGAACATATAACTGACGTGAACCATCAACGTTCCAGGAAGTCCACAGTTTGTGATCATATCCTAGACGGCCCCAACCATTACATCAGATTTAATAGACCACAAATCCTTCACGTATTATCCTAAAGAACATCGATTTCTACCAAGGATAATACGCGAGGCTATTGAAATTATAAAAACATCCTAATTTCAATAGAGAAGGAGGCTGAGTACTACCACCTGCTCGGGACCCTATAGTTAATAAAATCAAAGCTAAACCCAAGCATACCTGCAAGACTTCAAGACACAGAAAGTTCATTTTACGTAAATCGGACCGTAAATAAAAATTTAAAAGCTGAAGATACTCCGAAATTAGAATTTACACTGACATCAGGACGTCAGTCCCCTCCGTCCTCTGTGACCATGGTTGCTGGAAAGCATCTGAAACGTCGGGAATTAAAAATCAAATTATAACCGCGATAAAATCCGTAAAAGTAGTTTTAATCAATGCATTACCACTTACCATCAATTACCAGTAAAATAATTGCAGAACTACTATATATAGGCTGAAACTTTACACAGCAGCATTATGCTGTTACTTAGCTGGGATTGAGTAAGAGTGTAGTCCTGCAAATATCAAGGCGACCAATTCGTACAACAGTACTAGTATAGCTGCAATGTGACTCTACCATGTATATGCTGCTGTCATATATGGACTGCTGCTGCGAAATGCCGTCTAACAGCGTTGGACTCCGTGGAGAGGCGTGCTAACTGTCTCAGTGGTAACATTAATTTGGTCAAATCTAGTCAGCCTCGAGCACGAGCAGTGTAATCAGCCTCTCGGTATTCGACGCGATGCATTTCGGAGAGAGTGCGTAGGAATTTATACCTCAATTCCTTCGTCCCTTTCCATCATCGGACAACGATGTAGCTGGTTTGCTTCGTCTTTCTCAATGTGTATTGCGCACTGCAAAAGGAGCTGTGGCGGCGCTATAACAGCGCGAAACACATCGAAGCCTAAATCGCGCTACCAAAGTTCCAAAGTAAAGCAGTATATATAATTTAATAATAATAATAAGTGAATAGGTTTTTGTTATGCTAACACAATGCGATTTTGCCATCTAGTGATTCATAATCAAGCAATGATCAGAATATAGTCAAGCAATGACCTATTGTAAGATAACAAGTGATAACATTAAAATTTTTGTACAACCGACTTCAATATAAATAAAATCAGAATATCATCAAAGTCAATTAAATACGCATTATTAAGAATAACTCAAATTCATATGGAACCACATGAGCAGCACCAGACTTCAAATAAAGGAGTCATCAAAATCACAACTTCACATAGAAAAAAGTTCCGAGGGAACACACATAAAAAACATACAGTTGAATTGAGTAAAGTTTTTAAAGTCGGTAGAAAATGCTTATAAACGGCTTGTTGATTAAGTGAACTTGTACTATGTCCATAATTATATAGTATGGCGTGGTCAGTTCACTTACCCGCGACGTGGTCAGAGGGTAACACCGTTACAGCCTATTAAAATCCACTGCCAAACATAGGCCTCCCCTTTAGATTACTTCATAAGGGGGGTATTTGCCATAGTTGCCACGCTTTACAAGCCGATTGGCAACCGCAGTTTTTTTAGTCGTTATTATAGAAGACGCTGTTGTCCTCTAAACACTCGCACGGGATGATACGGGGTAGTGCACATTCTTACATCGCCACTACACGGTTCAGATGAAAACACGCCTAGTTAAAAATATCGCGTATCGTATTTCGATTTGACCCCGTTTGTTAGTAGTATCGATTTTATGTTGTAATGAACTGTGGAATATTGGGTGGTGACGTTCGTACTTAATTTATACCCCTCAAGTCGAGATTTAACACGGTGAGAGTGTGTCCAAGAATTACGTGATTTGATTCCTCATCCCCCTTTTCACCATTGGACAGACAGACACTCAGCGGGTCTCCTCGACATTCCACGCATTCGATCTTCGAGTTTGTTTCGACTTTCGTTTTACGAACAGCAAAGGAGTGGAACAATTTGTCATCGTCAGTCTTTACGTACGATTGTGCACTACAACGTGTGTAATGTGGACGTGTCTTCAGGGCAAGAGTGAATAGGATTTTGTTACGCTGAGTGTTATCAACCAACTAGGGGTTTATCGCCACTTATCACTTAATAGGCGATGCATTCGAGCACTGGTTTGTCTTTAATAATTAGCTGATCGCTAGCTTTGCTGGGCGCATAATAATAGATAATAATGACGTAGATATACAATATCAAGATTGTTTTTTGATAGGACTATCGTAATGAGTCATCAGATAACGTAATGAGTCAGTTAATCAGTAGTATTTCGCAGTAGTGGTATTTTAAAAAAATATAAATATATAATATACAAAATAAATTATATAAAATATATATATATATATATATATATATATATATATATATATATATGTATGTATTCCCAACCAGTGATAATTAAACAAAAGAGTAACTTTCAATAAGTAGTGTTTATAATCTATATTGAATTAAAAAGTTTCTGTTTTTGTTTATATACTTCCGTTTCACTTTACCCATTAAACTAATTTATAACTACGTTTAAAATTACTGTATAAAAGTAAAGTAAGGTTCCAGCCTCTATACGTCTCAGCTGGGCTCACGACGGTTTCTCATACATTTCTGAGAGGGTTATGGATCAATTAGGTTCTTCCTTCTTCAGTGGATGTTAACCTAACCTAACCTAACCTAACCGAACCATTACCTGAACCCTAGATTAGACGACGAATTGTGCATGATAGATGCAGCGAGTTACTACTGAACGAACTGGTCGGCTCATCACACTCACTAGGGCTGCCAACTCCCGTTTTATGTTTTACAGGATTTGCTAAGATTATAGTATGAAAATGAAGGACATCATATTGTTTTCAATAAAATGCTGTTATGGTATCTATAGCAACCCTAACACACACAGAATACCAGCGGTAAATAGCGGGTTTCAGACGCAGATGTTTTGCCACCTCCGGGGAGTAAGAAGTTATGTATCGTTACCAGAAAAACAGGTCTTCGGTTCTCTTTATTCAACACTCAAAACAATTCATCATTAATTCATCGCATTATGTGGCTATTTCACGCGGGTATCACCGGAAGGCGGACCACTAGCCCTACAGCCATGGTACAGCTGTAGCGTGGCTCTACCAAGTACAAAATTAGCAAACCGATATTCAGAAATTAGAATAAAGTTTATCGACTAAATTCGCCACAGGTCAAGGGCAGGTTAGGCGAACCCTTCACCCACGAGCATGTATGCGTTAGACATTTCAAATGAATAGAACGGTGACAGACGCGAAAGTTTTTTTTTGTTATTTTATTGCTGTTACTTGCCGTGTAGTAGCAGCGTGAGAAAAGTCACTCCCTTATACCATACCGTTGGTGCCGGCAGACGCGACAGAGGGAAACTTAGCCAGGAGATTGCCAGCATCATCCTGCAAATAGAAAAAAGAACTACGTTTGACAGTCCACCTACCAAGCTTGACGAGCTTTCACAATTGTCTCCCCGATGGGCCTATGGGGGAGGCTATGTTTTATGTCCTATGTTTAGCAGTGAACTTATGATGGGCTGTATATATGATAAATGATAATTGAAAATATATAATTTATCAGAAAATGATGTAGATATATCACACTAGCTTTTGCGTATTTATTATCCACGCTGACGTTCCAACGTCGCTCGATGCATCACAACATATTAATCAGACAGCCGTAAAGCCAATGGGTTAATAGGCTCTCAGCTAAATGAAATCATGCAGTTGAAAGACAACCAATTAAATCATATTACGCGATATTTTTTTAATAGAATAAGGGTGACAAACGAGTACCTGATGGTAAATGAATGCTATGGCCCATAGACATCTACATTTATCCTCGATTAAGAATCAAAACGCAGATGCGTTGTCACCCCTGAGGACTAAGATGGAATGCCTCCATTCCAGTAAAACTGGTTTCCGGTTCTCTACACTCACCATACGAAACACACCATGTGTCGTCGGCTCGACCGGGGAAGGGCCACGCTCTCACAGAATACCAGCGTAAAATAGTAGCTTGATGCCACTGTGTTACGTATGGTGAGTGTAGAGATCCGGAGACCCTTTTTAGTGGAAACGAGGCATTCCATTTTAGTCCTCACGGGTGACAACGCATCTGCATTTTGATTCGTATGCGATTATAGATGTAGGTGTCTATGGGCTGCAGCAACCAATTACCATCAGGTGGACTGTGTGCTCGTTTGTCACCCTATCCTTTATATATAAAAAAATAAAGATATCAAAAAATATCAACATTCTATTTTACAGACCTACCTGTAAGCTCTGACAGCGCGCGACATGTTATACTCCCGTTCGCTCGGGACCGTAATGGCGGGAAAATTTGCAAATTAGCAAATTTTTTGCTATATTGCAAATTTTGCTATATTTTCATATGGATAAAACTTATAGGAATTCTTGTTGAATGTATAAACTATCGAATAAAATTATTTTTGGTTGCTAGAAATTGTAATAAAATACGTAAATTACCCTGTATAGCATAGTAGTGGTATATACTTCAATTTTAGTGACAAAATTACTACTAATTTGAATTCTA